TCCTATTTCTGACATTCCATCATCATCCCACTCTGCTCTTACTTTATCCTCCTCTGCTATGGAACAAAAAATGGATCAGTTGGCCTCCATGGCCCAACACCTTCTCTTTCAGCAAGTAGAGATGCAGCATGATATTGATCGAATGAAGATCGAACAGGCCCAGGCTATTGAAGTTGCCAAAACAAGTGTGGAAAACATGGTGATTGCAATGTATGGAATCAAAGACTAGTGGGATGAATCTAGTTGAGAGGTCCTCAACAGATAGAAGTAAATCCTTTGTAAAAATTCACAATCTAAGTAAAGCTTGGTAGTGCATTGATTCATAGTGAATAAATTCTCAAGGAGGTATCTTGAGAGTGGATGTAGGCCGGTGAGCCGAACCACTACAAATCCTTGTGTTTGAGCTCTTCTTTCCTTCTCCTTTATTTTCTGTGTATTAATTGATTGTCTACTGCATTTACTTAGTCATTTGAAATCTATTTTCTGGTCATATTTTTTTTAATTACCCAATTCACCCACTTCTCGGGTTACCTTTGTGTGTAACACCGATCTAAAAATAAATAAATATCACACACAATTTTAAGGAGTGGATTTGATTTTTTTTTATTTTATTTCAATAAGATAAAATTAACACAATAGAAAGATAGTTTTAACCTCATCTTCTCCAAACTCAAAATTAGATTAAGATGTTTATTAAAATTAAATTAAATTAAAATATAAATAACAATTTATCTTAAAGATAAATTTAATTAATGATTGGTTTTAAAATATAGAATAAAATAAATAATATTTAAAATTTGATCTAAAATATAACTAAATTAAAATTAGATTAAAAAGATAGATATTAAAATAAATAATTACGAATTTAAAATTAATTGTGACTTAAAATATAATTAAATTAAAATTAGATTAAAAATTAAAGAATTACAATAAATAATTAAAAAAATAGGATTAATTGTGATTTAATTGAATTAATGTTATAAATTATAAATTGTTTATGAAATAGGACAAAGAAAGGAAAAAGAAAGTATAAGGTTTGAGAGTATTACAATAATTTCACACATATATAGTTAATCGATATGTTTTAGTCTAAAATCACATCGGTGAGGCTTTCTTACAATATTTGAACCATAAAAAGTAACGTATTCGGAGTTTAAGTCACAATGTATTCGTAGTTTAAATTACAAGAGGATAAAATAAATTTTACATTTTTTTGGTTGCGTGAATTTAGCTTTATGGATTTCTATATTTTCTCTACAAACAATACTGATGTCGAGAAATTCAGGAGAATTGAATATCTGATGAAAGAGTGATAATTTGGTTTAGTAAATTTTGTTACAAAAAATTTAAAAAATATACTTTTAGTGACAAATTTAAAAAATGTCCCTAATAAATAGTATACTTTTAGGAATAAAATAATTTCATCCATTTACTTATTGGGAGATTTACCAATAAATCCCAAAATGTAAACTTATGAACCAATTGGTCCCATTTTTATTCTAGTAAACCGTTTAGTCCTAAAAAATTCTGAGGGACGTAATTACCCTCATTTAGACACCACTCATCTCTCTCAGCATTCTCTCTCTCACATGGAGACCCAGCCACACACATATCTTCTCTCTCTAGCAGACACAAGACACCATGCACACAAAACACCATTAACACACACACCCAGCAGCCACACTCATACACACCATACACACAACACACATACACACACACAGAGCACACACCAAACCCAGCTCTGTCTTCTCTCTCTAAGACACACCCAGCGCATAACACACACACACTGATACACGCACACACACACACACAGAGCACACACCAAACACAACTCTGTCTTCTCTCTCTAAGACACACCCAGCGCATAACACACACACAC